CTTTTTGGGTGGAGGGAGTGGGGAACGTCATTATTCCTGACATGTAAAGAAAACCTGTTTACTTATCAGAGAGTGAAAACAGAAGAAAAGAGAAATCAAATTCCCAGGTTTAGTCCCTAAAGCTTTGGGTTGTCTTTGTTTCTGGGAATTACCTGAGTAGCTTTTTTTTTTTTTTTAAGATTTTATTTATTCATTTGACAGACAGAGATCACAAGTAGGCAGAGAGGCAGGCAGAGAGAGAGGAGGAAGCAGGCTCCCTGCTGAGCAGAGAGCCCGATGTGGGGCTCTATCCCAGGACCCTGGGATCATGACCCAAGCCGAAGACAGAGGCTTCAACCCACTGAGCCACCCAGGTGCCTCAACTTTTCCATTTTTTGTTAAACTGCATGAATTTTATATATACTGCTTAGTGAATTTTTAAATTTATAACTTTATTTTTAGAGCAGTTTCAGGTTTACAGAAATAATTGAATGGAAAGTACAAAGAATTCCCATATTCCCTCTATCTCCCCATTGTAGTTTCCTTGCTATTAATATCTTCCATTAGTGTGGTACTTTTGTTGCCATTGATGAGCCAATATTCTTACATTATTTTTAACTAAAGTTTATAGCTTATTTACATTGGGACTCAATTTTTATGTTTTATTTTATGGACTTTGTCAGCAGTATAATGCCATATACTAACCATTACAGTATCATGCTGAATGGTTGCCCTGCCCTAAATATCTCCTGTGCTCCGTTTATTTATCCTTCCCCCAAACCCCCCCAACCCCTAGCAATCTCTGATCTTTTTACTGTCTCTAGTTGTGTCCTTTTCAGAACATCATATATTTGAAATCATGTATTATATTGGCTTTTCAGATTCACCTCTTTCTCTTAGCAGTATGCCCTTGAGTTTCCTTCATGTCTTTTCATGGTATAATAGCTCTTTTCTCTTCATGGTTTGATCATGTTCCATTGTACCCATGTACCACAGTTTGCTTATCCATTCACCTATTTGAAGGGCATCTTGGTTGCTTCCAAGTTTTGGCGATCATAAATAAAGCTACCATAAACACTCGTGCTCTGGTTTTTGTGTGTGAACACAAGTTTTCAGGTCATTTAGGTAAGTAGCAAGATGTGTAATTGCCAGATCATATGGTAAGAGAATATTCAGTTTGATAAGAAACTGCCAAACTGTCTTCCAAAGTGGCTCCTCCATTTTGCATTCCCACGTGCAATGAATGAGAGTTCCTGCTGCCTCACATCCTTGCCAGCACTTGGTGTTGTCAGCATTTTGGCTTTCAGCCATTCTAGGAGATGTGCAATGGTATCTCATTGTTTTATTCTGTAATTTTCTGATGACATGTGATGTTGAGTATCTTTTCATACGTTTATTTGCCATCTCTATGTCTTTTCTGGTGAGGTGTCTGCTCAAATATTTTGCCCTTTTTCAATTAGACTATTTGCTTTCATATTGCTGAGTTTCAGGAGTTCTATATAGATTTCAGACACCAGTCCTTTACCAGATAAGTGTTTTGCAAAGATTTTCTCCCAGCCTGTGGATTGTCTTTTCATTCTCTTAACAGTGTTTTTCACAAAAATTCACAGAAATTTTTTGTGTTTTTCACAAAAATTCATAGGAATTTTTAATATTTATGACATCCCCTTATCAATTTTTTCTTTTATGGACTGAGCTTTGGGTATGGTATCTACAAAGTCATCACCAAGCCCAAGGCCACCTAGATTTTCTCATATGTTATCTTCTAGGCCTTTTTTAGTTTTGCATTTTACATTTAGGTCTATGCTACATTTTAAGTTAATTTTTGTGTAGGGTGTAAAATTTATGTCTAGATTTCTTTCTTTCTTTTCTCTCTCTCTCTCTTTCTCTCCCTCTCTCTTTCACTTTCTCTTTCTTTCACATATGGATGTACACTTCTTCTAACACCATTTGTTGAAAAGACTGTCTTTTAGCTCCATTGTATTGCCTTTGCTCCTTTGTCAAAGATCATTTGATTATCTACATGTGGTTCTATTTCCGAGCTCTCTATTCTGTTCCACTGATTTTGTCACTAGCCTCTTAATAATTTCCCTTACTTGCTTATGCTGATTTGACTGGAATTTTTATCAGTGGCAGCTGAACTATCACTGATTAATTCAAGCACTTGGTACATGCCAAGCTCTGTGCTAATCTCTTTACATAAATTTAATTACAACATTCTTTTAAAATAAATTAGGAAATTTGGGGTTTGTTAATTTAAATAACATGTTCAAGATCATGTCACCAATAAGTGTCCCAGATCTGTCTGCTTGTCTATACTATACTACCTGCCAAAGATGACCTTGTAACTTCTCACTCAGAATATTACAGTTGCTGTAATAGTTTTCTTCTGCTAATTACTGCCTTTAATTACACTACGGTTGCCTTCTAAATTAATTACTGACTCCTTAGCAAGCATGTAAAGTCTAAACTACCTCTCCAGCTTTTTTCCTGTATTCTCTTACATGCTTGGTGGGACTACTCTGTGATCTGGTGTTACACCCCCTGCTTTACTGTATCAGTATGTGACCTAACATAGTCCTTATACTTGATGCAGCTCCAAGTATTAAAATTCCCTCTATCAGAGTCCATTTCAAATGTCATCTTCTCCCCTGGTTCTCCTTAGTTTTGTACACACACACACCCCGAAACCAGAACTGGGAGCTCTCTCCTTAACGTCACCGAAGCATTTCCTTTGAACTCTGGTTGTGGCACATCTCCCGCCTTGTGTTTTAGTTACATGAATCTGACCTGTCCTAACTAGTAGACTACTACCACCTTGACGGCTTGCATACTGTGTCGAGTCTGGTATGCATTTTTTTTTTAATTTTATTGAGTATATATCTATACAAAAAACTTCACTAAACGCAGGGGTGGCAAAGATAAAAAACATAGCCACTGCTTTAAAAAAAAAAAAAAAAAGTAGAGTCTAGTAAGAGAAGCCAGAGAAGAATGCAATTATTTTTCTGTAATTTACCTTCTAATATGAAAGCAAGCCTCTAGCACTGCGGGATGGAGCACAGAGTATGGAGACCTTAATGTAGTTTGAATCCGTAAAAGAGAAGACTTACTGGAGGTCAGTGCATAGGAGGACGTAGGCTGCTGAATGAGCAACATATGGCAGAGCAGGAGGCCTAAGACAGCCTCACATTTAGAGTGCGGGCAGTGTTTGAGTTAAAGAACGACAAAGGATGAAGCCAAACATTGCCGGGAAGGGCTATATCTTAAAGACATTTCTGAGTCTTGCAAAGGAGTTTGCATGGCATCTCCTGAAGGACATGGAAGTCATGGAAAGGTTTTAAGCAAGGAAATCTTGTGCTATTACTCATGCTTAGATGGGTCACTCTGACAGTCATGTGAATAATAGATTGGAATTTGCTGAGACGGAGGACAGGAAGGGAGAGCATCTAGCAGAATGCTGCAGTAGTTTCCATCAAATAGCATTAGCGTCTGAACAGGCCAAGATGGAGAGAGAACTTATGGGAGCGATATTTAGGAGACAGAATTTGTAAGACTTGATGATGGGGTAAAGCAATTCTTTAAGATCTCAAATTCTCTGTAGCCGGGGATTCATTTAAACAGTGTCTTCCTCATGCCAATGTAAAGAGGTACTTCCTCCCACACTACTATATAAATTACTAGGATGCATCTCCTTCCTTTCTTATCACCAAGAACCACTTTGCCAAGACAGCTACGAAAGGGACTCTCCAAGGAGGCTCTGCCTTATTATTAGAGCTTCTGGTGCTACTAGAGGGTAAAAGAGCCTCTGCTCACACTGCGAAGCTCGAGAGAGATATACTTCTTTTGGGGGGAGGGGCAGTAAGAAAGGAGAGATGTACTTCTAAAATGAAAAGTAGAACTCATTGTTTCCTTAGAAATAATACTGAAAGATAGGTACTCATGTACATCATGTGTTAAATTGCCTATTTTTTTTTCTTTATGGTCTATTCTAGGGAAATGAAACTGTTTAAGGCACTTCAATGAGAATTTCTAAACAAACTTCTTTTTTTTAAACCTTGGAAATGAAGTTGGGGGCTTCTTATGTATACTGGTGTACCAAGGAGTAGGAAACAGTTCACTTCAGCAAGAAGGAATATTTTATTGCTGATGTTTTTTGGACTTGCTGTCACATGATGATAATAAAATAGGGCACCTGGGTGACTCAGTCAGTTAAGTGTCTGTCTTTGGCTCAGGTCATGATCCAGAGTCCTGGAATCGAGTCCTGCATCAGGCAGCTTGGTCAGCAGGGAGCCTGCTTCTCCCTCTGCCTGCTGTTCCCCCACTTGTGCTCTCTCTGTCTCTCTCTCTCTCTCTGCAATAATAAATAAAAAAGATCTTTCTAAAAAATTAAAAAATAAAATAGGGTTAAAATATCTGTTTTGTTGAAGATTAAGTAATCTATTTAAAGCACCTGGCTCTTAGCATATATTCTCAAAATATTAATTCTCTCCTGTAGAAAACATTTTCATAATTTCTGGCTGTCCAGGTTGTTTTGAAAATACTTGCTACATTTAGGGAATCCCCAATCTTAATATAAGTGCTGCTTCCCCAAGGTAAGCTCTGAAAAAGAGGCTCTTAACAGCTATGTTGCCGACACAGGACCCAGCCTTCAACATTCAGCATACCTGCATAAGACTTTGAGTGGACATGAGTAGCTTGAGGAAGGAAAAATTCTGCTTGGAAACCAATTTGCTGGCAAGGGCATCTGACATTTTCTGGTGGACGTGCCTGCAAGGTTAAATTCGTGGCGTGGAAGCGGCCTTGGTGGGCAGTGGAATTGCTTTTAGTGTTTGTGGGAGCAATAGTTAGTAGTGGGCGTGACCTCCTCACGGGGCCCCTCCCACGGGTTGCTTGTGAGCATCGCTCCCGGAAACCGAGTTCCATACCTGTCCCTCCAACCTCCCAGCGATTCTCTTGAGTTTTTCCATCTCCTTTTAAACTCTTCTGCTTACTCAGCCAGAATTGGTTTATGTCCTTTGCAGCTGGGAGCCCTGACTGATCCACGCGTCTCCGTGGGTGTGACTACCTGTGAGTGACAGGCCAAGAAGAACGTCAAGGTAGAAAAAGTAATGGTGTAATTTACAACCACCTTAAACAAAAGAACATAGTTCTGGGAAGGAAATCTTAGAAAAATTTAATGAGCTATAATTGAGTGGAGGTTGAGGAATATAACTTTGGGGGAAATCGTAATATTAGAATACTTCTGCCAAGTTTTTGTTCCTCTGTAACTGTTGGAAATAGGTAAGAGAGCTAGATTTTCATGCTCCCCCCAGAAGAAACTATTTCAGAACGAGTTTATTTTTAAAAAATGTAATCCCTAGGTGTTGATTCTGCAGAGCAGTCCCAAGTGAGTTTATCAATTCAAGTCAAAGCCAGAATCAGAGCAAATCAGGCATTATATGGCGTAGTAAATTTCTGGAGCTCAGCTCAGTTCCCTTAATCTCTTAGCAGCAGTAACAGAGTGGCAGCTCTCACTCGTTGCAGTGGGGAAATAACAAAGCAAGAGCAAAATTGCTGTTGCAAACTGAAGCACATCACCACATTTCCATTGAATGCATTATAGTTCATGAATCTCCCAGGAGCCAGGAAAACACAGCAAAGTCTTTAAAAGTGAATCCAGATGTCAGCCATCTCCATAGCAGTGTTTTAATTATCAAAAAAAACAAAGAAATAACTCCTTAGGTACATTCTAAGCAGGTGTTCCTTCACAAAAAAAAAAAAAAAAAAAAAAAAAAACCAACAAAAAACAGAATAGCTGAAGAAGCAGCTGTAGCATTGTATCTGCTTTCATCTAGAGAAGAAAAGTACAACCTAAATAACAGATGATCCAAAGGGAGCTTAGAAAAATCACAATTATTAGGATTTTGCAAGTATTAATCTGTGCAACATAATGACTGATTAATATTAATTACTCCAGGGGCGCCTGGGTGGCTCAGTGGGTTAAGCCTCTGCCTTCGGCTCAGGTCATGATCTCAGGGTCCTAGGATCGAGCCCCGCATCAGGCTTTCTGTGCAGCAGGGAGCCTGCTCTCCTATCTCTCTCTCCCTCTGCCTGCCTCTCTGCCTAGTTGTGATCCCTCTCTGTCAAATAAATAAATAAAAATCTTAAAAAAATAAAATAAAATGTAAAACGGGCCAAATCAAGCACTTATTTCTAAAATTTGGCTTTTCTTTCACACATTAACTTTGCCAAATTATGGGATATTAGGAAATTACTTCCTTTCTTCCCTAAGATTTGTAATTTTTGTTTGTTTTTGTGCTTGACTTTGTGCAGTCTTGAAAGCTGCTTCTGCACAAGCAGAAAAATAAAGAGATGCTTTTGCCACTCACATTAGTGGGAAAATCTGACAGCAACAAGGAAGTATCTACAAGGAGCAGCAGAGTTGAGGTGTTGATATCATGGGTGAAAAATTAAAACCTGAATATACTTGAGGACAGAGGGGAAAAAGCCAGTTGAAAAGAGCGTGAGGACGTAAAGGAGGAAATGGAAGAGTTAATGGTGTCTTTCGGAGGAGCTGGGGGTAAGAGATTTGTGACTGAACAGGACAGGAAATCAGGGGACCAACTTCCTTTGATGTTAATGAAAAAGGAAAAGGAAAAATACTGAGAGATACTCTGTAGTATAAAACACACTAGACAGATGGGTTATTTAATGAATTACACTGTCCATTCAACAATCTTAGTGAGAACTTACTGTGTATGAAGCACTATGGATAAAAATATGTGTAGGAAATAACTCTTGGCCCAAGGAATTTACAGCATAACTGGGGAGACAAATATAAATTAGTTCTTCAAGGTATCAGAGTCACAAGTGAGGAACAGTAGTGTTTGTGAGATCATAGTGGGGGTGGTCAGGAAAGACATCAAAGACTGGTGCTCAAATTCAGTCTCGAAATAGGAATATGATTTGTTGTTATCTGGCAAAGGAGAAGAGTAAGGACAATGCCGGGGAAGAGAGCAAACACAAAGGCATGCACGGGTGAGGAAGCACGGCCTGGGTAGAAGATGCCATGTACCTTGACATGCTGGCAAAACAAAACTCAAAAGCTGGCCCAGGGCCAGCAATGATGTTGGTTTCTGCAGAAGCCCGGGGAAAAGGAAAGGTTCCTCAGCTAATGCAGTGACAAGGGGATTAACTTGAAAAATAGAAGGTGAGAGTATTAGGGTTTAGTTCCTCTTGGGAAAGCCATTATGAACCCTTGCCAAAGCTGCATTACCAGAAAGATATGGATAACTTCAAGTTAGAATCAAAATCCCACCCCCACTTTAAGAGACCACAAGAAAGAGGAGTGCCTGGGTGGCTCAGTTGGTTAAGGGTCTGCCTTCAGCTCAGGTCATGATCTCAGGGTCTTGGGATCGAGTGTGAGTCAGGCTCCCGGCTCAGAGAGAAGTCTGCTTTTCCCTCTTCCTCTGCTTCCCCCTGCCTCCAGCTCATGCTCTGTCTTTCTCTCCCAAATAACTAGAATCCTTGGGAAAAAAAAAAATAGACTAAAAAAATAGTTCTATTACGTTTCCCATCTCTGTTCACCTCTGTTTATCTCTGTTTGGGCCAAGCTTCCCCCAAATGCCCCTCCCCCCTCATATTGCTCCAGTTACTGTCCCCAGGGCCCTCAAGATGCCATACTCTGGGTCTACTGTTTACGTTGTATTTTGTGCGAACAGAACATAGGGAGCAAGATGAATGACACCAAGCTCACCCCTTCCTTAACTCCCAAATTGCCCTGTGGTCTTCCAAACGCCCTCCAGCGTATCTTACCGGGCGATCAGCAAACTGCCCTGCAGCCTCAGCTTCCAGATTCGAATGGTTCCTTCCTTTAACCCAAAGCTGCTTCCGCTCTGAGGTCCTCGCAGTTTTTGCAGCCTGCCCATGTGGAAGCTGGTTTTTTGGTTTTGTTTTTTTCTCTCGTACCCGAAGCACCTTGGGGTTAAGAGGTGGAGTCGATGGCTTTGCCTCCCTACCTTCTTTCAAAACACTTCATGCCCTTCTTCTCAGAATTTCTTCAAAACTCATCCGCACTTGTTCCCCGCATCACCAACATTTAATGCGCTCCTTCCCATCTCAACCACTGAAGACTTTAGCTTTTGGTTCAGTCTTTCTCTTCACCTTTTTCTATGTCATCCTTAGAACTGTGTCATTTATGTGGCTAATTCATTCTCCACCTGCTTTTCCCATTCCTGGGTCTTCTCACCTCCAAAACCTCTTCCTCCATTCCATAACAGGGGCACCACCCCCACCATTTCTCGAATCTACCAGAACCAAAGTTTGGTACTACTGAAATCTGGGCTGCAGATATCTGGCTTTGGGCCATTATCCTTTTATCCTTTTCAGCCCTTTTTCTGTAGAACTCCCACAGTCACAATTTGTCAATTTAGTGGAGACTCCCAGTACCTTGACCCCACCCATTTTCATTATCACTCAATCCCCTTTTCCCCTCTACTTTTTTGTCTGGCTTAAATTCTATGGATGGTTATTAGGAGGACTCCTTTGATAATACCTATCTTTGCTTCTTTATTCATTTTGCCTGGAGAGGTAGAAAAACTTGTCTGATTGGAAAATTTGTGAAGAACATATTGGCGTGCTCAGCTCAACTCTTCCCTCGCCTCCTGTGTGATAAACCTGCCTACAAAGAGCCCATGTCCCCTTGGGCCCCCTACAGGCAGGCTCTGCCCTGTGCAAAGATGGGAAGAATCCTGGTCTGGCCCACTGCTGCACTGTGCTGGGTGAGCGGGCTAACTCTGCACTGTTTGGGTAAGTGGGTTCAGTATTAGGGAACCCATTTCTGTTTTCTCTTTCGCCCTTGGTGTTTCAGCCATACTTCCTAGAACAATCCAACTCTTTGTACCTTCCTGCTTTTGGCCTTTCTCTGCCTAATTCATTCCACCCCTTTCCCCCACCCCGCTCTTGCTTTGACTAGCTCTTAATTTTTTCAGGTTTCAACTTACACTTCTCTAAAAAAGTGTTCCCTGACTTGACGATTTGAGGTAGGTTGTGCTCCTCCCATCATGCTTATCTCTGCCTTTTGCAGAGTTTAACTTGAATATATTGATCTGGGCCTCAAAGGAGAAGGCATATGCTAATTAGGATTTAAACATATCAGACATATAAGGTGGCTCAAGGAAATAGTCAGTGTTGGATAAGTGGAAACAGCGTTGGCTAAGATCAGATCCTTGAAGGACGTATAAGAATTATTTCTAGGGAGAGCATTCAAAGATGGAACCTGACAATGAATAATCAGAGTGATAGGAATTCCTTAAGACAGGTGAGGAAGGGGAGATCTTTAAGGAAGGTTTAATTTACAACATAGAAAGCAGTGCTGGAAACTGTCGAAAGGAATCCAAAGTTGGGATTTGATACGTTTGTGAGAGATATTTTAGCATAAGTAGGGGAGTCAAAAGCCAGGTTACACTAGGTTGGAGAATACATTAAAGATGTGGAATAGTTTAGAATAAGTATTTTTGGAAACTTGACAATGAAAATGAGAGAGGTGAAGTAGACTAGCTAGAGGGGAACTTAGAACTAAACAATTTTGTTAAGACTGGAAAATGTTTCACCAGTTTATAGGTGAAGCTAAAATATCAGAGAAATTGACAGCACAGATAGTGTAGGTGATAAAGAAGGCAGAGGGTAATCATCCTTAAAGAAGAGTAGCTTACTCCTGCTAACACAGGAACACTTCTTTCTCTGACGCTGGAGGGAAGAATGCATATGGCATAGGTCAGTTTGAGAGACAGATGAACAGGAAATCTGTGAAGAAGGAAACAAGGCCATCGGTTGAGAATGTCAGAGTTGGGACCCCGAGGAGAATGGCGGAAGTTTGTGATAGCTACTTGAGATGGTAGGTGGAATGAGAAGGGAATTTTCACCAAGGAATAGTAAAAGGATTGGGAATTAGTATTAGCGCTCCAGCTGAACCCAGCGCGAATCTTTATACACTATCTCAGGTCTGCAGAAAATACCACACTGTTGTTTTAAGCCAATTTCAATTTAACCCTGAGCCTCAAAT